ATGCTATATAGGTATTATTTACTGAGTATAACTAAGTTTCTTTAAAAGTTTTATAGTTGGAACTACCACCATTCGAAAGAGGATGAAAAACTGAAGAAAATCATCATGCATTTGTCTTTAGAATTTATCTCTTACTCCCAGTTTTCTGACAAGACGTTTTCTTAGTCGATAGTTTTGATCTAATCTGACGACAAAAAACGACTTTTATCTTAAAATGTTTGGGAGAGGACTCATTTCAGTGATGGCTAACGAATCTTCTTTTTTGAAACTGATGTGGAAGGGAAAACTCAGTGATAACCCATACATTCCTGATTTTGCTTCAGTTCTTTAAAAGAGATGAATATCTCTCTAATAAACAATTTGGACTCGTTGGTCATAACGAAAGAAACTGATATAATATGCTGTACAGATCTGTTTCCATTAGCACGGACTGCATAAGTTGAGAAAATCAGAGGATATCACTTCGAACTGATGTACTAGTTAACTCTGGGGATTAGTCTCGAAGCAGCTATGTTCGGTTTCGACTTTGCTTAATGCTCGCAGTAGATGGCTCGCAATCGTTATTCGCACTGACGAATTGTACAAAAAGGAAGATTCATCTATTACCTGATCCTGCTCTGTCGATGGGATAGCCACTACGACAGCCGCAGAGACCTTGCGCACATCTATCCTATTCTATATTGATTGACGACGATGTTGTTCAACGAAATTTTTACCCCAGGGTAAAAATCGGGCAGAAGAGAAGTAATCACTGGCACCGAGATGTTCACTCAATGGCTAGAGACACGTTTACCACACTGGCGGTATTCTCTTCATAGCATATCGATTCGAAGACCGATACCAGCAATTACAAAGAATGAGGTTCCGTACACTCAAGACAAATATATGTATGACCAAATCGCAATTCAGTGATACAAAATATTGGCCTTGTATGTGTACGGTTGGTGTCTTGAGATCCCAATTCAAAACGAAGCTTTTTATCTGATTTTTTTCAATAATTTTCCAATCACTCTCATCAAAAAAATAAAAATAAGAAAATAAAATGTCTGAAGAATGTCGTTCTTCTCATTATTTCAGATAATGGCATTTCGAAAGTTATCCTTATTACTCGCTTAGAGTTAGAATTCAGTGCAAAAGATAAATCCTATCCGAACTAATCTTGATTGAGTACTGTTCGTGTTCCATCGTTGATGATCTCTCAGACATTGATCTACTGCTTTTTATTTTTCTCTGTGTGTAGGGATCATTTGTATGTAGATCATTTGATCTACGTAGTTGACAACGATTGACTCAGCTCCGAAAGAATTCAGTGATATTGATTTCACTCATTCATACCCGCAATATCTACGGTCGAGATACGAACTAATTAATCATGATGTCGAATCATGATGTGAATGATTTCTTGTTAAGTACTTCAGAATAACAAAGATACGACAAAGGAATTTTCTTGGTGCTCTTTTTTATCGGAAATGATTGATTGTGAACTTCGCTTCTTTGATATTTCGTAGAGTAATAATTTCCGTCCGCACTAACTAAGAAAATAACAAAGTATTACATAACATATGCGACGTGGTATGTTTCATGTAAAAAACGAGTGAAAAAAGAACGAGGAAAGGATAGAAAGAAAAAAATAATACTATTGTTGACAACATCGCTCTCGCAACGCACTATACTATACGGTCGACGACGAACAAACGTATTTGTTATATAACGTGGTGCATGAAGGTACGTTTAGTTAAAATACAATCCAAGTAGTCGTGATGTCATACGTTGTAACAGGTGCAACTGGTCAAGTTGGCTCAGCGGTTGTCGATTATCTTCTCGCCCAATCGCTTCCTATTCGTGTTGTCATTCGCTCTGAAAACAAAGCAGAATCCTTTCGATCACGACATGTCGAAATAGCCATTGCCGAATTAACCGATGTCGAGGCATTGACCAAAGCGTTTCAAGGAGCAAAAGCAGTTTTTGCTATGAATCCTACAGCTTTGACCGATCCGGATTTACAAGCTGCCGCAGCTAAGGTTAGTCATGCCCTGGCATCGGCGATCAAAGCAACCAAAGTGGAACGCGTAGTTGTTTTGAGCTCTGTGGGCGCCGAAAGAAGTTCGAAAACGGGAAACATTCTGACAGCTCATACACTAGAAAAAGCATTGAAGGAAACTGCTCCTCAAGTAGTGATGGTTCGATGTGCTTCGTTTATAGAGAATTGGAACAATGCCATCTCGGCAGTTAAATCAGGCCAGTCACCAGTGCTTGGTTCAACGTTACAGAAACTGGATCGAAAAATTCCCCAGGTCGCTACAAACGATATCGGTCGTGTTGTTGCTGAGTATATGACCAAACCCAATAGCGAAGTCGACAAATTGGTCATTATCGAACTCGAAGGACCTGAAGATTATAGTCCAAATGACGTGGCCAAGGTGGTCAGTGTTGGATTAGGAAAGACTGTTCCAGCGGCTGCTATGACCGAAGAGATGATGCATGGTCTTGGCAACAAATTAGGCTGGCCGAAAACAACGGTAGATAATTTTATCGAAATGACTCAAGGATTTGATGATAATACCATTCGTTGGACAACGGGTGAAAATGTCATTCGAATCAAAGGAAAACTCACTTTAGCTGACGTTCTCAATAAAAATTAATATTGGCGTTTTGGGTTGCTTTGAACTTCGATGACCACATAGTTTTTGTTTCTCTCCATATGTATACTGATTTTTACCCAATTTTTAGTATTCGTTGTAACTCACTGTAGTATTACTGATAAATAGATGTATTAGCTGAGGTGATGCAAATCAACTTCTCTCATCATTTCTGATATGGAAAATTCTCAGTATTTCACGCTCAGTTATATTCGAAATAACTGATTACGTGAAATACTTTTCTGATGTCCTCAAATACTCTGTGGAAGGTCAAGAGATTTTTATTTCTTGGTCCCATCGGCGTTGGTAAATCGACAATGATGTTACTAAAGAATCACTGATAGCACCAGCAATGATCTCCGAAGATTCATCGGGATCAACAGCTTACTTTACGAAGAATTACAATTTTCCCTATTATCTATTGATGCATTAATTCTGGACGAATCTCCAGCGAGATTCGATATGCCATTGAATTTTTGACTGTCAGATTTGGAAAGAAGGTACACTATTTTTGTCACGCATTGTCGTGATCAAAACATGAGAAGGGAAAAATATCTCTAGTCGAATGAGAAAGACAAATACATAATTAATACCATATAATCAAGTCCAAAACTGTCCGATGTGTCGTTCTTTGTTAGATACGAAAGATTCCATTTTGATATCTCTTTTTTTATAATTGGGAATGTATCGAGAAAAACAAACTTGATTGAAATATCTGAGCGGAAAGAGTAACTTTTGAACATATCTTCTGGTTGTTAAAATAAATGTTGACGAAAACAAGAGCCTACACGAGAACGAAAAATGAAGAAAATTTCAAGGTCATTGTCTCTTTAGTTCGAATGAATTTTCAGAGACCCTTGGAAGAGGGATGTCAAAATGTTGTCTATTTTCACATATTTAATGCTGATCTTAGCTTAACTTACACCAAAATGTAGCCCGAAGAATGCTCTGTTAGTGGTAAAAATTAGTAGATTTTTTAATTAGTGTGGTTAGGGGATGAGTTTGAGAGATTGCTAGAAAGATATGTAGATTTGAGCGATAACAGAGTATTCTTCGGGCTACATTTTAGCGTATAAGGCGCATGAAAAGTAGAAATTAACGAACTTATTTATTAGTGGATAAGAGTAGTAAAATAGAAGAAGTAGAATATATTGTGCGCGTGTGTATATATAAGAGAGAGTCATAGACATATAGTGGTAAACTATACAGCCGAAAAATATAAATGAGAAAGGGAAATTAAAAATATTTGAATTATGAAAACAACAATCCATCTGAATACTTGTTATTATCTAATTTGTTACTACATCTTAACTTTAATTTTTACCCTTAAACAAAATCAGTTTTGCTCTCTCATCTATTTTACATCTGTTTTTCTAATTTTCAAAGGTAACCTCTTCCCTAGTGAAATCCATCGTCTATTTCTGTTACTGGCATCAAAACTAAGACGAAAGTTATGAAGCAATTTTGATTCGAAATCTAGAGAAGAAATGTCAACGTGTTATCAATGATGAAAGCAAACGAAATCTGATAAAATTCAAACAGCATTTAGTTTTAATAGACATTTAAGACGAACACGTGCTTGCGATATACTCAGTAGTTGAACAATACATCTAAAATATTATCGGACGCGAAACGGGCTCCGGACTCGAATTCGCTTTTAAATGTATAGGACTCGACTCGGACGTGATATCCCTTCGAATTCGCCCAGTCCTGATTTGAAAGATCGAATTTGACAAAGTCATTTGTTTAAAAGTGCTAAAAAATCTATAAAGTATTTAATGACATATTTCTGACGGATATCTAACATAATATTCACAGAATGAACGAAACTCAATCGTGATACAGACACTACAGTTATTTCTTTTGAGATAAAATCAACACAAGTAATCGTCTATTTCTTCCTCGTTTGTGTTTAACTAAATTTTATTTATAGTATTGAGTATTATCACAATTTTATTAAGAATCAATATCAAAACAGTTTTATACGTTTCATTTTTATTAAAGTTCCTCAGAATTTTTTACTTTTTAAGGTAACATAGTTTAGTTTAAATTAGATAGAAGAATGCTTTAGCTGATGAATTCTGTTATTTTCTCTTTCACCGCTACGGTTACCACAATATCCTTGCCGATGTTTTTCCTAATGTCAGAGAATTGATTGCTGTTCTATCGTAGCAATGATTTAAGAATTTAATTTTCTTTTTTAATGAAAATTTTTTTTTTAATATTCAAGTTTTATTTTAAGAAGTGAATATGACAATGAAAACTAAAGAAAGAATAATAATTGTTCGAGTTCGTGCATCATAACAAAATTAGGTAGAACAAAACATACAATTAAAAAAAATGGAATGTGCAATAATAAATCTAAGCAAATGTTAATGGTTTAATACTCATCAGAAGTTTATTCATTGTCTCGGTAAATAGAGGACTTGTATCCATGGTTCTTGAATGAGCTTCGGGTGAAAATTGTTCACGTGTCAAATGAAACGATTCAGCATGATACTAGAACAACAGAACTTATTAATTATTTTATTTTACAAATACGTGGCATAAGTTACTTACATCTGAAAATGTTGATGCTTCAATAAATTCTGCTGAACTTTCAGATACATCTGTAAAGCCGACTAATTCACTAGTGAATATAATACAACGCATATCCTCCTAAAATCAGAAGAAGTATATATATATAAAAAATGTCATTTATCCATCTCTTTATCTTTTAATACACACATCCATTGGTGGTGAATCTTGTAAATGTTCTTTACATCCTACAACCATTTTCATTTCATCATTAACAAATGCATTCCAATGGCTATAGGAAAATGCTGTACAACATGAAACAATGGCCATTTGCTGATACACCCACCATTCTAATTTATGATTCTAAAATATTTTTTTGTTTTTTTAAATTAATTAATATTGTACAATGATAATAATTAAAAACATATACCTTATTAATGACGCTAACGTATGAGTCCGAATCGGATTCCGGAAAGACGTTTAAACCAAGGAACTTTAATTGCTATAACAAATATGTAACAAATGTTTGAATAATTTAGAAGAATATATCATATCTATCGTACAAAATACTAAAAGAATTATTTACACATCTATTTAAATTTTTACGTCTATCATTGCCAAAAAATAGTATTTTATTATTAGAACCACCATACTTTTTTATTTTAGAATTTTTGGAGATATTGAATCGAGAAAAAAAATTAATTTATTACTAATAACAAGATTTTGAAGAATTTGACTTCTTGCTTGGCAACTGTACTTTTCTTTTTTAACTTACCTCAATTAACTGTTCCAAGGGCATAAATTTATTCGCAATTGGTTCGGCTACTATATAGAATGCTGGATCACGTTTAAATGGATGCTCATCAACATCACTACCAGTTTTTGAAAGTGCTGATGGTGGTGGTTGAGGAGTCTTTGTTTTTGTTGTTTTTTCCTCTGTAACTATTGGTTCAACTGGTCGCGGTGGTAAAAAAACAGCCACTTTATCATACTAAAAAATAGAAGAATATCCATTAGTCATTATTACATAGTTTCAATATATTTTTTTTCATCAAATTTATCTATATAGATTTTTTGTTTTTCTCTACGATCTACGAAAAGTTGTCTGTCAAATATCATTATATATGCATGCAAAGTTTGGTGTTTGTTTTACAAATGTTCATCGTACAATATGTCTCCCTTTATAAACCTATTATTGTTATCATTATCACTTCATTCATCTTTTTTCTCTTTCTATATCGAAAATTAAACGATGGGACAAGGTTTTCTTTTAATAAAGATATTTTTTCATGTGTACATAACATCTCTTTTTCTTCTTTCCTTTTCATTTCCTACAGCAATATTCTTTTTCCTGGTTTATATCGTACCGTACCGTAAGATATATATATATATGTGTATGTTCGCGTATATCTGCATAACCTTGTTTGTATATCTGACATCAAAATGACAAAAAAATATGGAAATCGTACATATTTATGCAATATTATTCCAAAAAACAACAGATGTCTTCTGTTGTTACAAAATATATATAGAGAGATCTCGACAACACAATAAAAAGAAAAGAGAAACCTTTTCGTTTTCGATCTTTTCCATATAAAAATGGAATTTATATAGATATTCTATGATGAACAAAATGGGAGTAATCATTTTAATTAATGATAAAAACGTTGAAACTTAATTATGTTTAGATAAAACACATGTAAGTAACTTGACATTTTGTGTTTTTATAAGAAAATGGCATTTTCTTTTTTTGACAAACAAAACTAATAAATCAAATCGTCAAATAATTTGTCAACAATTTAAAAGTAAAGATGTTGATTTAATTCGTAACTAATCAGTCAATAGTTTAGTTTTGTTTAATTAACAAATTTATCGAATAGTATAATTTAGAGTTCGATTTCTCTTCTTCTTTTTTCATGCATAAGCGATCGATCTTTTCTTTGTCTTCCTTTATTCAGCTTATAAAACTAAAACATATTGCTGAAGCCATTTAAGTACACAGTGATTGTTTTCTTTTATGTCGTGATTTTTATTCACGATGAATTATTGTTTGTGTTTGAGCGTATTGATGATCTCTTACGTTTATTAAAAAAAAAAATGTTTGCCATTTCATGTTGAGTTAACACATATCATGTTTAGTAGCACATCTCTCTATTTCATTCTATAAGAGAATGTCTATATAAATCAGCATGACATCAAATAACAGATCAAACTAGATTGCATTTACTCTCTGTTTTTTACTTCATACAGAAACACTAGCTATTTGTGAGTCAAATTCACATAAGGATTCAGGTATTGTCAATAAATAATACTCTATCTCAGAAGAACAAAAAAAAAGAAAAAATTGTTTAAAATGTAGAAAATCATTTTAAGATCATTGAAAAGAATCCTTTTCGAAAGAGCGAACATGTCACTAGAACAATATTTAGATTTGCAAAAACTTCTTACTCATACTAGAAGTAATTGACGAATGTTTTTTTTTGCTATTATAATGAAACATTTCTGACTTTAAACCTTTGTGTCTCCCAGTGGTAAGTACGCTTACCATCACTAAAAGAGTTTTGAACAATCTTCAAGAACTTTTTGTCATACACATTATCTTAGTAATTTATTATGGTGTCTCTCTTGTCGGACGTAAGTCTAATCAATTCGTAGGAAGTGTGTATAATTATATTTTATTCACGATCATTGTATAAAAAATTGTTTTGTTTTTATCATCAAATGCATACGCATAAGTAACGAAATAGAGATTCTATATAAATATCTTCTTATATAGTTTATACCATATTTCATCATATTTGATTCACTAAACATTCGAGATTCAAATGGTTAATATAGATTCCTTTGGTGATATTTTGAAAAATACTCTTTGCTCAGTTAATTAGAATGGATAAAGTGTATAGGTTATTATGGATGTAGGCTTCATATGATATATTTATTTTCTCACAATTAATTAGTAGACTAATTAATTGTGATACTACCTAGTGATAGTAGTACCTAGTGGCCACAAGTGATACTACCTAGTCTAACAGTCAATTGCTCAACATTATACTGAGTATTCATTCATATATATATATATATACGATGATACTATGTAAATAAGAAACTTATGAATCTAATCAGTAAAAAATAAGTAAATATGGTCCAGACATACATTCACATAGAATATTTGTTATACATTAGATAAAATAGATTTTATTTCATATTTCAAACCCAGTGAGTATTAACCTTGACGTTTTATATCACAGTGAAATATAATAAAAAATTTTTTAGTACAAAATATATCACATAAGTAAATTTCTTTTTTTTTCTTCTTCACATTAGTGATGTACTAAATAGCAGCACTTGTCGGGTATTATGATCGATACCCGTTGAATTGTAAACATGTCATGTTATATCTATTAGAGAAACTGTACTCCTCCTACTAGATCCATTAGCAAAGATCTTTTCTTCTTTCTTTTCTTTTTCTTTTTTCTAGTTAAGTGACTTTCTCTTCTTGTTTTGCCTAAGGGTTTCGTTCGGCATTTTATTGAACAGAGTTGTATGAAGATGATTTTTAATTTAATAAATAAACATTTCACATAAAAAGGAAAGCAGTATAGTAGTCAATGAAAAGGTCAATGATCTATTAGAATTTTTGGTTTTTAATCATATACTGTAGAGTTTTCCTTCTCGGTAAGTATTATGACATAATTGATAAATTAAGACTTTACTAGATTTAGTCATTATATCCTGTTAAATAGTAAAATTATTTTGATCGTAATATAAATATATTATCTAAGTTTTTATTTTTCGTTTACAATGACTGTTTTTTCACCAAAATATCTTTTGTTGAAATAAACTTCTAGTGAACTGTATAATATCTTATAATCAATCAAAGAGGAAACATGTTTGAGATAAGTTAAACGATTTTTTATATAATAGGAAAAACAAAAAAAAGATTTTTTATTTCATTTCATTAAACAGTATTTACCGTTTCGTTTACTTCATATCCATAGCATTTTCACCTTCACTTCTTCTTTTTTTTTTTCACTGCTACATAATAGATATTTGACATATTTTGTCTGTTTATCGTTTCATATTACCATTCCCTAGTCTTAAAGAGACAACACATCGAACAGTGATCATATTACACTTTAGATGGTGTTTAATGTACTAGATGGGATGAGAGAGGGAGAGAAAAGTAAGAGAAAAAAAGATGATTTCATATATATTTATCTCATCATTGACACGACAATTCCGTATAGAATATATAATGATGATGATCATTAATGTAAAATACAAAAAATAAAATATTTTTTACCGATATATAAAGAAATATTTGAAATCTAGAATTTATTGTTGATGCTGTTTAACTAACGAATAGAATTCTCATCAATCTATTAGTATTTTTATTATTATTATTACAAAAAGTAAGGAAAACGAGAAAATATGGAAAAAAATATCTTTTCTATTACCATACAATAAGAACAAAAAGAAAAATGGAGAACGTACCATCTTGTTATAGATGTCCATATGATGATTTTTATAGATGATAAACGAACGTAACATAGAGAGAAAATAGCGATCGCATAAGCCACTTCCTCTCATCAGATTTCTTCTTTTTTCTCTTCTTCTTTTAAATAGTAAACGGAACTGAATATTCACATAATAAATAGAATAGACGCCTGTATACAACAACCAAGAGAGAAAGAGAGAGGGCGAGTGAGAGCGAGAGAGAGTATCAAACGATGGCTAAATAGGATAACATAGAACGAAATAAAATAGAAGAATAGGAAGTTTATTAACAATAGAAAGATCGCCTCTTCTACTCTTGTATCAAATAAATAGTTAAATTTCGTGTGTCTATCCTTGTCACTGTCTAATCATATGGTCATAACAGAGTAAAAATCACTTGTCGTAACGAGGAAAAAAAAGAAGACAAAAAGAATTTTTTTTTTGTTCTATTGTTATTATTTTATCATTGTATATAAATTTCCCCAAAAAAGATGTTTTCTCGTCTCTTTTTTTTTTGTTTCGTTTTTCATCATCATACATACACAAAAAGAACAAGAAGAAGAAGAAAAAAAAATCCGAGAAAATTGATATACGGGTGATGGTAATCGACAAATAGAGAGGAAGAACAATTTCTTTTCTATTTTACTCTAAAGCATGTCTATTTTTGAATTATTTGAATGGAAGAATTGATACAAAAAGTAAATTGCATAATAGAGGTATGTTCAACTAAGTTTAAGTGTGCAATAGTTAATCTATTCCATATAAAGATATATATATAATCTTTGTATCAATTCAAATTTTAAGAGTGCTTAACTTCATTGTTCATATGGAATAATTAAAACGAAAGATTAATGAGTTTTATTGAGACGATACACATAGCTTTTTTAATGTAAAGAAATTGAGTAGTTGAATGGCAAAATATCATAGTGGAAACAAAAAAAAGTATTCAATAGAATAGTGTGTTGATCTTTATAAAAACTAGAACAAAATTCATGAGACATTCTTCTAAATTATCGATTTTGTTATTTTTGATCTTATCTATATTCATAATAAGAGAGAAAATATGTGTCATATTCATTTTTATTTTTTGTTTAAATGTTTATACTGTTTTATTGAGACTACTGTTATCGTTATATTTTAAAGTAATATAAATAATATTTTTTCAAAAAACAGAATAATCTTCATGTGTTTTTCATTGTCTCACATATATAATATGTTCTCATTATTAAATTACTCATAGTTACTATATAAATATGGTTGAATATACGGTTCGTCTTAACAGACTGATAATTACTTGAAAGGACATAGGTTCTTTTATTATTTTTTTTAATTATCTTATGTGTATGAAGGATATAACAATATCTTTGTAAATCAAGTCATTTCATATTATGCCACAACATGGAACAATTTTTCTATTAAAACGTGCCTGTTCATAATATCCATCAAGTTGACATTGAGTGTAAATGAACAATTGTTCTACGTAAAACTAAGAACAGTCTACTAAAAAGTAGGAAAAGAAAAGAAGGAAGACGAACTAAGATAAGAATTACTTGAATATAAATTACAGTTGATTAAATACGCGGAAATTAAAGCAGGTAAGATTAACCAACGGACTTGTTAACATTTGAATTTTTAATTGAATAAGATCTGAATATTTTGGATAAAGAGTATTACTAAACAATCTAACATTCAGTTTTCTATTTAAAATTTATATTATCAATATTATATACACGAAACTATTGACATAATACTTGAAAACGAGGTGCTGTTGAAAACATGTTTTTCTCTTATTTTCTATTATTGAAAAAATCTCGATTTTGCTGTTGTTGTATAGACATGCACATTTCTCTCTCTCTCTCTCTCTCTCTCTCTCTCTCTCTCTCTTGCTCGTATTGACTTGAAAACTTATTAGCATCTTTTTTTTCTCAAGAAGAAAAAAAACGTTTAATGAAATGGGAGAGAGATCTGTGACATAGAGACGAGTCTATTATGATTATTAATGAATTATGTATTTTCGACAACAGAGAACAATATCTTTATCCCTATAGAAAATCTTGCTTCGAACGACAGTGATGTTGACTGAACAAAACAGATGCAATCTATTATAATTCCGTTATACATTGAAGAAAAATAGGATCGGTATCATCATCAAATTAATTAATATATGTTTTAGTATAAGGAGTAAGATTGGTCTATTTTTCGATTAATTTTTACCACTTTAGTGTATGATAGAATATGCCAAGTGTCATAAATTTGTCACTAGAAGATTTTAGTAATTACTTAATAGGCAGTTTGATTTTTGATGTTGTTTACGGTGTTTTAATATTATCGATGAAAGATGAATGACATGTTTAGCCATTAATAATCATTTTTTTTTCCATGTTCTTATGGAACAGTGAGAAAAACTATGTGCTATTAGATGATATGAAATGTCTATAACTTTCTAAGTAAGCAGTTTTTTAAGTTGACTAAAATTTTTCAGATAGGACATTTATTTAGTTGCCTTCTGAAATTCATATCCCAGATAGATTTTACTGCTAAAAAAATGTTTATCTTCAGAATTTAAAGTTCATTATAATTGTTATAAAATTATTTAAATTGTTTGTTTTAGAAATCTTATGTTGAATAGACTTTTTTAATAATCGAAGTAAAACAAAATATGGACGTTTTAGAACTTCCTCGTCCCGTAATTAATTTTCTTCGTACAATGGCTAAAGAAAGTTGTCGTTATGTTTTGTCATGGGATATTTTTGGTGGCCCCGAGAGTGTTACTCTAACTTTAACATGGAAATTAATTCCAGATGAGCAACCCTTAAGTGTCGAAGAATTAAAAATGCTTTCAACACCACCACAACCATCTTCTTCAAATCAAACATTGACATCACTTAATACTATGACTACATCTCGAACACCGTCTACTCGTCCATTACGATCATCACCAGTCATCGACAATGATATTCATACGTGTGACAGATGTGCGTGTGATGAACAACCAGTTTATTCATCATCTCCACGTCGAAATAAAAAAACGATTGGTAACGAACAACAACAAACAAGACGACCATCATCTCCTACTTATGGATTTTCGTCAAGAACTTCATCATCAAGACGTTCAAGAAAAGATGAACCATCTCTGACTACAACATCGACTATTACACGAGCAGCCAATGTTTGCACGGGTGCCGACACTGTTAATAGTAATAATAATAATCATCAGACAATATTTCGTGCACTACGAGGAAAAAGTCTTGAGACTGTACCACAGAGACTGAAACATAAAATATTTAATGATTTAGAGGTCAAAGATAATGTTGAAACAACAGTCCCTGTCAGTCCAATATCTCGCAGTCATCATAGAATCGTCCCTTACGAAGCATCTACTTCGCGAAGTTTAGAACGAAATACAAATACGTTTAAAGATAATCATAATAGTAAAGAACGCGATATACCTATCGATCGAATTAATCGACGAAAACACAATGAGCTGACAACGAAACTAGAATTGTACAATAATATCGAACAACCTCAACGAATAAATTTGAATAAAATAAATTCACCTGTTGTTAAATGTGCAACAATCTCTTCACTTTCTAGTCCATCATCTTCGCCGGCAGCAGAAAGTATTGTACCTCTTCCACTTCCACCACCACCAATTAGTTTAGCCTATCGAAATCGAAAACAAAATTTTCACAATCAATCATCATCAACTTCATCTACGACGGCGAATACAACAACAGCAGCGACGGGCACATCTTCACTACTCGAATCACCTCATACAAAACGCGTAAATTACCATAATTATAGTTCTACAGCTGTCTCACGTAAAGCACCATTGGAAAATATTCTTTATACATCGTTGCATCAACAAAATAAATCATCACTAACAGACAGTACAGAAACAATTGATCCATGGGTAAAACGTTTTGAATGCTCATTAGAAGAGGAGGAAAATGATGAGAGAGAAGGAGTAGAAGAGGATATCGGAGTAAATGATAAATATGGAACAGTTAATAGTAAAGTCAAATTTAAAACTCTGCCAGATTATATTTAGAGTGGATAAATATATGAATGAAGATTTAGTTTGAAAAGAGCTTGATCAAATAAAACCTAATCGTTCTTTATGCACTTCTATAATTCTATACGACGAAATTTTTTGAACCAAATACTACCGCAGGTCACTTACTCCTTATTTTTCTTCGTTCTTCTTTTTAGTACTATTCTGTATTTTCTAGAAAAGAAAAAAAGCTGGTTCTTCTTTTGATTTTCGAAATGCAGGTCATTTTTATCTGTTTTGCTGTCTGATGGTTTTTTTAAGTGGTTGTATTTATATGGACTGTTTTAGTTTTTTAAGAAAACAACTTGTCTGTTTTTTTACTATTGGTCGTCGTTGGAATCCGAGAACTATAAATATTTGTAACTGAACATGATTTGAGAGAAAAAGTGTTAAAGGCTGAATTTACACAAAAAAAACAAAAATATTTCCAATAATCGCTTTTTCCACTATAGACGTTTCGAGAATTATAGTAAATATAGCCTAGACATTTCTTCGAATATTTCTATTCGATATAAATCATTAAATATTATTCAGTCCTTGAAAACAAATCGTAGGTTTTGCAACTAAACCTGTGAATCAAACAAAGTGTTCATTGACTAATAAACGTCGTTTACAATGAACATTTTCTATAGTCTATTTCTATCGCCTCTAATGTATCAATAAAAATCTCGAAGGAAAAATATTTATTTAACGAGTTATGGGAAAAAAAATATATATATTCTGTTACGAAAAAGGAGAATATATAGAGAAAATTACGAAACAGACTCTTTATTGAAGCTGATGTTCAAACTCAATTAATAATATAATAAATTGACTTTTAACATTCCTGTCAGTTTAACTTTTGAATATTTATATAAAAGAAAAGAAAAAGCAAATGGTTCAGATTTAATTCAACTAGACACGTATTATCATCACCATCATCCGTTCTCACTTTCTATTTTTAGATAATTCCCGCTACTACTGTTGATGATGATGTAATAATAACAGTGTAAAAGTCAATTTATTGATATACAGAAACTTGACATTCATGATGCGATAGAAAGGCATTATGTTTCGTACGATTTATTACAGTAGAAATACAACCAGAAAAGTGATAAGGTTGTTCAATGATCAATTTTGATCAATTTTTGAAATTTTCAGACTATGTGTCAATTCAGTCAGAAATAATCCTAACATTGCTGATCGAACTTACTTTAAAATATCGAGATCAAATGACTATACCAATCGTTGAGTTTCAAAGATTTAAGGTACTTTTATCCACTGGACAAACATAAAAATTTTAATCTAAATTTTTTTCGTATCCAAATTTTATATGATGATTCATCTGACCCACACGATGAACTGAATGCATTGATTAGCAGTTGTACGCCTAGCAATCAAGGTAATCAACAATATTTGCCACTATTGGCAGATGTTTTTCTTCATAATGATCGCCTCCATGAATAAAAAATTTCGATTCTCTAAAAGTTTAACCAGAACTGACACCTCTGACATATGCTGAAACCACAAATGAATAATAAAATCTAACTCGGAAGAATTATGAAAAAGTTTTAGAGAAACAAACAGAGCAGTATATATGAAAATTGAAAATGTTGATAGTCGAACAACTGTATTCGATGGAAGAATGTAATTAGTACAGAATTTATAGATTTTTGAGTAAAAAAATTAAAATAATGTACTTTAAGAAGCATGTGATGAAAGATCACAAATATCTTCTAAAGAAAGAGTTACTAGAGTATCATACGTTTAGAATCAAATGCTGTTGAGAAAATATTCGTGAGAGGTTTTACACGACGGATCATAAACCGTTTGGCATGGTTAATTCAACAAAAAAAAAACAACAGTTCGCAATTCTGCCAACAGAGACGACAAATATTCTTTTTGTATATTATTGTAAATTTGATTTGTTTAATTGTTTCATCATAAATAAAGAGATCAAAATGCTTTATTACAAAACAATGTTTATAATAATACGACATACCCAATAATACCATGTGAAACAAACTGAATGAGTACAAGAGAAAAGAGCACAGTTTAAAACTTTCTTCATAGAGAGGAAAAGGAATGGTCTGATCCGTTTCCGGCATTGTTTTTCGAAAAAACTTCAAACGGTACAATCGATATTTGACTTAAAAAAGTACTATACAGAGTTTGATGATTATGAGCACGCACACAACTATCTATTACGTGCCAAATAATAATTACAATTTTGCAGACAAAAGAAAGATGCCACGAATCGATAAAAATGATATTTTTTTTTACTTGTTTGTTACTACAGTGGTACAATGAATCTTTCTCTTTTATAATTAGAAATAGAGGCAGTCATCGTGAAATAACAAAAATCAGCGTTATATTTTTTGTCAGTGATGTAGAAAATACGCGCATATATACACTCTTAATGTAACATGACTGAAATTATGTGTGATTTTGAAAAAGACAGCTGGAATTATTCAGTGTAATAACAAGGATTTCTGACGACAAAAATATTTATTGTTCAAGAGACAATCGTTACTCATTTGAACTTAATTAATAGAATCATGAAACGTGAATAAAGCAAAGGCGATTTTTAGCAATGTCTCGTCAAATGCATTGAGATAATTGATTCGATTTCACTATGGCTTTGGTAACTTGTCGAGAAAGATCCAAACATTAACCGAAATGTCGTGAAATGAGTAGCAAACTTAACTTACGAGGGAACATATGTAACTGACCAATCGTTTTTTTAATGAAATCTAGTGGAGTATAGGTAAAAAATGGTGCTGAATCCACTTTTTGTTCCAAAAATTTTTTCTGATGTCTCGATTGTAGAGCACATCGAGAAACCTATCAAAAACTAGTTTTGGGTTTTTTTAAAGTGTTTTTGAAGGTTTTACAAAGCTACAGGCTCCCTCAAAAAACCTCAGCGTACGGAAAAGAGAAGAAAACTCCGTCTGACGGGCAGTGGAAGGGTTCCAAAATTCTGAAAACTAGTTTTTTATAGGTTTCTCGATGTGCTCTACAATCGAGACAGATCAGAAAATTTTTTTGGAACAAAAAGTTTCTCGCTCTGGAAACCTGGTTTCCCAGAAATCCGGTACTCACAAGGTCTAGCGGCCCGTCTCATGCCGATATTTGGATTCAGCACCATTTTTCCAAAAATCTAGTAAACGTACATTACAAAATATCCCATTTTTGCCTATTTTTGAGTAAAATTAAAAAATTTATAGCTCAGTCAAGATCAATCCAAGTTATATCAGAATATCAAAATGTACTTTATTTTATCTGCTCAATACTATGCAGTTCAATAGACGCTTTAAAAACAGACAGAAGATATTCTGGAGTTTCTAGAAATCTTCCGAAGTACAGGCATGTTTTTCACTATTCTCAAGGAAAAAATCGTTTGGAGCAAGTAAAATAGAGTACATCTTGATATTCTGATATAACCTGGATTGATCTTGACTGAGCTATGAATTTTTTAATTTTACTCAAAAATAGGCAAAAATGGGATATTTTGTCTAATGTACGTTTTCACCAGATTTTTGGAACTATTTTGAAAAACAAATGTTGCCAAGAGATTCAGCATAGTCGGTAACCTATATTTTCATTGATTTCTGCCAGTTCCAAACCTAACGGCAGTGGAGTCCTAAAATTTCAAGAAAAACGCCCGTAGCTCCCGAACCACGCATTTTCGCGATGTCACTTGGATCTGGTTTTGTAGAGAATACCTTGGAGTACCCTGATATGGAAAAAAACTGAATGTATTAATCTATGTAAAACTTTGGAGCTATAAGCTGATTTTCCAGAGATCCACGAAAACGTTTTAGTTCTTGCATATTGTTATGTGCCCCGATCTTGGCTACACGATGGCGAAAACTCGATCTCGATTGCGCATTCCATTCTCGAGTGTTCATGTCGTAATCATTCAACTATATTTTGAAATGGATAGTAGTTTATAAAATAAACTTTATTTAATAAATATTGCATCAACTATATATCGAAAAAATTTGTCTTTCATCGTTATATGTGCACTCAGCAAATTAGTTGTGACACTGAAAGTGAGCGCTTAATATAAGAAGCAACGACACCAGTGGGGCGCCAATGATACAAATCAAAAGAATAAATTTAAACGCCTTCTGACTATTATCCGAAACTTCAGAATCCAATTCCGTTTATGGCGGCGGCGGCGGCGTGAAATTTCAAAATATTTTTTCGACGGCGACAGCGGCGCGGCTAACATCTCTGCTTGAAGTCTCGTATTGCCTATACCGAACAATTTTATTCTCAGAAAAACTTACAAATCGCACATCATCTGATGTAGTTTTACGCGCTGATTCCGAATATGCCCATGAGTTTTTAATAAAAGTGTTTTTGACCGAGATAAATAGATTTTACCTATTCAGCCAAGGGTTTTTTGGAAACTCAATAACTCAGTCCAGTATAGCTTGCGCTATTTTATGCCAACAATGTACATGTAGCATAAGTAAAAGAAAATTTTGCCAAAGTTTCATCAAATTTAAAGCTTCTGAAACATTCGGAAACGAATATTACTGAATGTATCTTTTAGGAAAATATTTAGCAAAAATACAAAAGCAATTTTTTTCCAACTCCTTAGTGTCAAAATTAAAAAATTGCTTTATGAATTGATAGACTGAAATATCTATGTTTAGCTTTTTAACAAGGCTTTTTAGTTTCTATAATAGCGCTTTATCTATCTGAGAAGCTAAGTTTTTCCACTAAATTTGAACTGTTTTCCGACCAACTAAAGCAGCGAAAACAAAAAATGTATACCATTAAATAAAGCATGTGTCAATGTATATTTGGCACTATTTCAATCTCAGAAGAGCGCACTTTCAATTTTTCGCTTAAATGTCTACTTTTTCGCTTACATGCTCTGTCTGTATGGTGTTCATAGACTTTTGTAAAAAGAATCGAAAACAATTTCGAATTCTTCTATCTATTCTTTGTATTTTAAGTGTTAAATGTAGAACAAAACAGGTGATTGACTGCTCTGTCAAATAACAGAAAGATGGATAGTCTAAACCGTTTATCGTAAAACTTCAATACTTAATGAAGGATCATAACTAGAAGCTACTAGCTATCGTCTTCTCAGCAGATACGTTTAGAAGTTAAAATTCTATAATAGTGGAATTTCAGATATTGATATTTTGCAGAAAACATGCTTTTTTTATCAACAAAAATCTTCTACTTCTATCTCTTGAGTTATACGATACAAGAAGTTAGCTTCGGTTTTCTAAGAAAAGATCAATATTTTTAGAGAAATTTTAAGTTAATATAATTTAATTTTACAACCGCTTTTTAGTTACTAGATAGCCAAACATAACTCATTTCTGGAAGAATCAAAAGAAGATATCGATTTCGACCTGTCTGAATGATCTCGTCAGGTGGTTTCCTTTGAGAAAGACAGAGTTAATACGCAACAAACAACACAACTTCGTTCCCACCGTGTGAGGGTAGTAACACTCTTTGCAAAATGATAACTATCACACGATAAGAACAGAGTATGATATTGATAGCCGCTACACTTATTCTACTCCCACTAATAAAGTATTTCTTTTCAATCTGTCAGAAATGATTTATCCTTTAATATAAACTGTATCTAATAACATTTGCTCAACAAACGCTGAGACAATTGTGAAAAGCATCGTACGGTTTGAGCTTCAGAGGCAGGGCTGCAAATAGGAAGTCAACTGAGAGTGGGGGGTGTAAAATATTTTTAAAGCATCGCGCAGCGAAAGATTTTTTGGACATGTAAGAAAAAAATTTTTAATTTACTCTGAGAGGAAAGGACAAATTTTTATTTTTTCGGGGGCGGGGGTATTTAGGTTGGTGGTTTTGTTGTTATCTATTATTTATGCTTAAATTTCGTATGTAAAAACGCGAGTGGTACCATGTACGAACTTAGAAAAGAAAGTTACTTATAGTGACCTCTATCCAGACATTCCGTTAAGCATGAAATCCAGTAAAGCCCTATTAAATTCTCGTGATAGAAAAAAACCATTGTATAAGAAGAAAAATGTATTGACAAAACATTTTATATGTATACAAAATGAACAAAATAAACAGGTTTCTATCAATCAATCAATGATGATGTTTGATAATGAGAATGTCAGTATGACCATCGTTGTTTATTATATATCAGATTACAGTGTTGTAAAATTTATTATAACGTTTATGAGACAAGAAATAGAGTCGTTGAATGAATATCTATTCAAAGTATCTAGTTGTTATTCAAAGACATTAAAAACGAAAGATATAACTAAAAAACTTGCGTGTGTGTGTGTGCGCACAATAACTAACTATATGACATATTGAGCATTATGCAAAAATATTGCACTATGAGAGAGAGAGAGAGAGAGAGAGAAAGAAGATTACATCATCTATTGAAGAGAGTTCAATCATTGTTCGTTCTTTTTTCCTATACTACAACCGTTTCTCATGTTCATCTTCCTCGCTAATTAACAAAAAAGCTCTATTTCTATCATGTTTAAGTTTGTAAGAATAAAATAATCGAAAACTTTAAACAGGGTTAGAGAATATGAGATTGAGGCCAACGAAAAACATTCATATTCAATGACTATTTTGCACAGCGAAAATCTATATTATAAACCCATATATAAAATGAAAAAATATTCTAAACGAGTATACCGTGTGTATTCATATGGTACTCTATACCTACTAACAGTCTGTTTTCTTTGTTGAATGATGTAAGTACACCATTAGACGGTGGTGCAAAACAGTTTAGCATCAGAGTTAGTTGAGAAAATGTTGCATTTTCAATTCACTTTTACACTTCATATAATTGATTAAGAAAAATAGAAGATCTTCATTTCAAAATGATAAGAGTGATTAGAACTAATAAGATAGATAATCATCTTTGAATATTATCATATATTTTGTTTTATTTCAAAACATATGCAGTTTATTTTCAGTTAACTTTGAAACAGTAGTTGTGCGAGTTTACTTTGACCTTCATAGGTCATTATTTTCTACGAAAAAAGAGAGATAATTTAAAATTATTTAAAATATGAAAGAGGTTATAAAATGTATAAAATCAACTCTTCTATTTAAATATACATCCATATACAGTATAAATATACACAAAGCATAAAACTAGAAAGAAAGAATTAGATTAGTTCGAGTCACTGCATAAATGACTAAATGAAAACATCATCATCATCTTGATTGTCACTTGGACAGTAGATGAATAAAATAAAAAAAATATATATTTAGCATGGAAAAACTATGTATATGCAGGCATTTATGCATCTATACGTATCAACGGAAAAAAATAAAATAAAAAAATAGGATTCATTTTGATATCGTGAGACACTCCTACTATTTTAAAAAATATTATATCTCGATCTATTGTCTTTTTTTTCTCTATAACAAGTAATGTCATTGATTTTTATTATGTTGTAGCAAATATAACAAATATTTTTCCATATCACACACGCATACTCATACTATTGAAGTGAAAAGAAAATTATGAGTATTAAATATCAACGCCATCATCGATTTCTTTTTTTCTCTTGTTAAATGAGCGATGATAGATACTCATATCTTTAACATGATTATCTATTATATATATAAAATGTGTAAAATACTATAATTTATAGTGACCACCACATCAATTTTTTCTTTTTTTCTTTTTGTACTCCTCCTTCTAAAGTGCGACACAACGACGACAAAAAATATGGGACTTGGTTTTTATGTAAAAAGAATGAAAACCGACGAAAAAAAATATTCAAATAATATTTAATAAAATTATTTTATTCAATCATCATCATCGGTAAGGTTGATTGTAAGAAAAATGATTATATTCTTCATAAATATTGCCCTGTTAGATATTCGATAGGTTGTCGTCATTAAAATAGATAAAAAAAAAAAATCGATCAAATCAACTTTCTCTCATTTCTTTTTTACTATTACTACTGCTACTATATCACTTGATACAAAATGCATAACATCAAATAACTGACGATATTACTACGTGCTTTTAACAAAAATAAAACGAACTATTATTCATTTAATATTCATTGATCATATTCTCGTCCTTGTTAATTAATTTATTTAAATTTGATATGAACACATTGAAAGAAAGAAAACAGAGATGATGCATATATGATTTTAAGTGATCATCATACGAATATCCAAGGCTCACTGATACATATGTACAACACTTAACGAAAAGAAGAAGAGTAAGAGTGAGAGAGAGTGAGAGAGAGAAAAAAGAAAGAAAAAAATAACAATAATCCACTATGCCACATATACAAATAGATAGAAATATACATATATTCTCTGTATATCGATACCAATAAAAAAATGGAACATATGATAAAGAAAGTGAATGATGGTGATTCTTATAATAAAACAACGATTATATCTATCTATGATAATGATGAACATGCTCTTAATACTATTCGATGTAATCATAATGAAACTTGTTGCTTATTACATTCTTCATTGCCAAAAACGTCAACAACAAAAACAATTACAACAATATTAAAAACATCCGACAACAACGAAACGAATAATAATAATGATAATATGAAAAATGGATATCATCATTTAATAAATAAAGAGTCCATATTACAATCGAAAGGATATTCAAAATTTCTACGTAAAAAATCAAAAACATCAAATAATAATCGTCAATTAAAAGCCATATCGAGTATATACGTGTCGGATAGAATTATATCAAATAAAATAACTTCAGCAAGTAATCATCTTCATCATTTGTTTAATCATAATAAAACTATTAATAATAATAACGATAAACAAACGATTTGTGTTCGTGAACAGTCACAACAGCAAGAGACTACACTTGTTCAACATCCTCTATTACCTCAAGTATTGCAACATCATTTAGTTTTACCTACGAGAAATGTTGCAATGTTATCACCAACGATAAAATCAAATATGACATGGACAAAACGATGGACGAAATGGTTTTCAGCATGTGGAACAGACAAAGAAATTTCACCATCAACTAAAGCTCCTATTCCTACAGAAACAAAAGTATCAACCGTGATTGGATTGGTAAGCAAATTTTTGAATATTTTTTTTAATATAAAAAAAATGTTAGAAAAAGAAATTTATTGCATCTATATCGATGAAACAAATGTTTTAAAAAAGAATTATTGTACATATATATTGAAAAATGTCGGTTATCAACAGATTAAAGTAGTAAAAAAAATATTGTCAACTGGAAAACATATACAGAGTTATTATTTGTCATTTCAATGGCAATGGCATATATTATTGTTTTATCTACTGATAAGTCGTTTGTGTGTTGTTTACCTTAGATTTACTGATGACAAGCTTTAGGACTATATAAAAACTGAATATTATACCCAAAAATTGTTTAACAGAAATTCATATCTCGACTATGTCGAAGACAAGCTGTTTTGAGTTCGAATGGAAAGTGAGTAGTAAAACTGTATGTGCATGTTTTTCTCTGTTCATATTATTCTTTATAGTTTTGCAGCTGTTGGTTTTTGCGACAAATAGATTTAATATACATATGTATGACCCGGATGTAATGAATCTTTATATTCAAACAAATAATGTTCATCTTTTCATCATAGCTAGAGTAGAAAACATTTTATACACTTCAAAAACCATAAAAAATTTATTTATTATTTTTTTTTTCTTGTTGTTGTACCTTTTAACGGACATCCCTTTCCTTTCATATATGTTAATGTGAATGATCAATGTTTATTTTTTATATATGAGAGAGAGAGAGAGAGAGAGAGGGAGACAAAGTGTGCATGTGCGTTCAGTTGGATTAATCTTTTACACATGTAGTACATTGAATATTGACTAATGTATATATATTTTCTTTTCATATTTAATATTCACCTTGAACTTTATATACACACACATGTTCAACACGTACCGAAGCATAAAGAAGTGGAGAAAAAAACCTCCAACAACAGTCATTTATGACAATTTAAACGTATACAATAAAATGTTATGTGAACAGTAGAAAAGTTGAACAGATTAAGTTTATTATAGCTGCACTTGCTCTTCACTTTCTTTCTATTCAATAGAACAGTTTCATTTTTTGTTTTGTTTTTTGTTATTATTTATAGAATGGTATTATTGAAAGGACAAAACAAAGTCTCTCAATAGTTAGACTATAGATCGAGATTAAAATAATCGTGATGGAATATGATTGACATGAGAGGATGTTTCTCCAGTAATGATGAATCTTTTAATCAACAAAACCTGATAAAACAGTAATATAGATGATTGTGACTATACAAAGATTATTTAACATTTGATCGCTTATTGAAGATACGATAGAAAATGAGCATGGTCAATTGAAAAGATTAAACAGGCTGATTAAAAAAATATCAATCAGTATAGCACTGAGAACATAGTAATTATTCATTCTCTTGAGATCTTGTTAAAATGAGCACTCCATGTGTGATCTTTTTTTGCTTTACAATCTCTTCTACTACTACTGCTTAAATTACTTTTTTATACGAATAAAAGTTGACTGAGCAATGTTGACGAAAATATCCATGTAGAAATAATATTTCATTAACACTTTTCGACTTTTATTTTTATGAAGCATAGTATATCACGTAGAAAATTTATATATACGATTAAAAACAAAATATTTTTGTCAAACAATATTATTAATCGATCAACCTCTATAGACCATAAATACCCCGCCTCTTAATACTCTATCTATTCTAATGTCAGGCAATTTATTTATCTTTTTTTTTCTGCATGATGATTTATTGGAACAAGAGTTATGCATTCTCACAATTGTCTGACAAACACGCATAACTAAATCAAGGACAAATAAGAATAGAAATTTGATTCCAATAATTAATGTTCATTTTTAGGTAAACTATATGCAGAGAAAAGGACCATTAGAAATTCTTTGAGAGTATGTGATATATGTGAATAGATAGATAATAACAGTAAATTGATATGTCGATCTTCTTCTCTTTTCCTATCATAGTGTTCAAATTGAGCGTTAATAAGTAAATATAGTCGTTTAAAGTTGACATATGCTTAGTAATAGTCATTTTTATACGTTCTGACGAATAAGACAAAAGTTCCAGTAATTTAGAAAGTTCAATGGAATTCGGAAAAGTATTTTATCAGAGGTCAGACTTTTATCTGAGCGTTCTACCCATTTCTTTTAATTGTGTCTAAAAGTTCCAACCTTTGAGTAGAGTACAGTACAGTGTTTTCTGTATACATTTTGTATTAAACTCCACTTTGTTCTTACGTTGAGGTTTGATGGATGTTTCTCAAAGTTTTCCTTGTATTTAGACATTATTAAAAATACTACGTACATATAATTGCTTTAAGCACTTTCTCTATAAGAATAATTATGAAGATAAACTTTTGCAATAATTAATAATACCAATGAGTTTCCGTGAGACACTAAAACACGTTCGATTATTAAAAAAAATGAAGAGTGGATCCCTGCTTGACGGTTTAGTATATTGACAAATTTTAGTTTCAATTGACCAATATCTTTTTCTACACACTATAAGCTAACGCAGAGTTCCTTTTGTCCAACCCGTCATATACACTCTCTAACCGTACTAGCTTTCCTTACTAGCTTCCCGGATAACCATGATGACTAATCAGGAGAAACTTGTCACCATCAAAAAGTGATAAGTAATATGTAAGATTGTTTCATATGTAGATGATAGATTAGTAACAATACTCGCACTTTTTGTTTGACACTTTCTTCATAACATTGTAAACAAGATTATCTTTCTTGATATTTATGTTGCGTTTTTTCATTGTTATACGGCATTGACTCAATAACTTATTCGTTAATATGACCTAATATCTTGTTATCGTATTATTATCATTTTCATCACTGTCATCTTTCTCTTTGTCTCTCTCTCTCGCTCTCTCTCTCTTTCTCAAATACACACGAGTACAATTTAGGTGTTTGTATGTGTGTCACCTATTTTTTTTATCATATTCATATCAAGATGCACCACTCGTTCACTCACGATACGATGTGTGTGTTCATTTATTAACACACGTACTCCCTTATAAGAAATAGATTAGAGGGCGGTACCCACTGATGACAATGAGGATGATTTTAGATTTTGTTTTTTTTTGTCATTTTGAATAAACACAATAATAGGTTATAGTTTTTTGAGCGAATATTTTGATCTGCTCGATGATGACGCTAATAATAGGATTATAACGAAATAATGACTTACTACTCAAACTATAGAAATAGGAACTTGACACAAACAATCTGAATGTCAGACTGATCCTGAAATAAAATTTGAAAGATAATTTTGAATTAATACCATCGATATCTCACTCCCTTTCATCTCTATGAAACAAAGAAAATTGAAAATAGAGAAATGTCGAGTTTATCAAATCTGATGATTGCTTTTTTTTCTGTGATTGTTGAGATAAGAATAATCGTCCATTGTTCATATATACGAATAATAAAACATAAAATTTTTTTTCTCCTTCAAAATAAATGGTTAATTAAACAAGTTGTTGAGACATACGCAACTGCATTTATCTATTATTGATAGGAAATACAATAATTAATAGATCATTTCACTTTTGTTATGAATTTGTTGCTTTCTCTAGCTCTACTTATCATCGATTTTCGTATATTTAAATAATATACATCAAGCGCTAAATAGTACTTTTTCCATTTTACACAATAGAATGGTCATTTAGTAATGAATATATTTTGAACAAAAATAAATAAATTATCGACAGCGTAAAATATTTCAATTTCATTCTGGATAAAATATGATAGAGAAAAACTTCAACAATATAGAACAATTATCATTAATTAAGATTAAATCATACTCATCCACGGTTCGATTTTCCTTAAAATCTTAAATAACACATATTGTGTTTTCTGTTGACAGATGTTTCTACACCACTTGCTGTAGAATGTTGTAAACAAAAATAGTTTACTGTTATTTTTATTATTCATTAATGTATATAATCAAAAATATCTCATACTGTTTCTCTTGAATATAAATATTCTTAGACCATGTAAGCTTTCCAGTGTATAGAGAGTCTCTATATAAAAATAATTTCTGATAAAAAATTTTAAAAAAAAAAATTTATATTCTTATACTCAAAGAAAATTTGATCATTACACAGAGTTTTGAAGCTTTCTGAAACAATTTTAATTATTATTTAAAATGTCAGAATGAAAAAGTCTGTTTAACGTAAGGATTACCACATGGAACTGACGATGTATTCTTAAAAAAATTTCTTCAAATTGATATGTCAAAACTTCAAATATAAATTAAAAATGCAAAGTCACGTTTACAGTTAGAATCGCCACTGAGATAGTAAAATTTTAGAAAGAAAAAAAACAAAGATTTTGAAAAAGGGAGGAAAATAATTGTTTTTATTATGCGTTGTCATCTGCAAGAAAACATTATTTACGAGGGAAGAAAAGATGAATTTAGGACTTTTCTTGTGAATTCTCTAATTTTGCAAAGAAGTGTAGAGCTGAGAGATGTCTCATTTTAATCAGAATTTCGTGGGCTACAGTCGTGACTTATTTAGAAAAACTCTTGGAGATTTTTCGAGGTTTCTGGAAAACTGGTTTTCCAGAAACCGGTTAGGAAAGGTCTGTGAGAAAAAACGGCTATCATATTTGGAATCAGCATGGTCAATTACCTATAAACTACCGCATTTCGCTAGAAAAACGGCTGGATCCCCGGAACGGTTCCCTCGTTAGACTTGAAAATTTTAGCATGAATAATACAAAGTGTCTTACACAAAATCACGCAAATCCGAGATGCGTCTGTATTTATAGATAAAATACATTTCACATTTTCAGTCTATGCCATAGCTGAAATGAATAAGATACATACTTTTCTAACAAAATCATATGATCCTTGCCACTCCGTCATCAGTCTGTAGTCCAAAAGAGTTTTCATTTAAAACAAGCATCACATTCGGAATCATCGTCAACACAGTTTAATAATAGATTACCCACACTATAAATTTACTGATCTCTTATGTGAATGATTTTCTTTTGTTTTGAAAAAAAGCAGATGAAGTTTGCCATTTAAACAAAGAACTTCCATCTACTTCATTGAATGACAGTTAATACTTTAGTAGATAGAAGTCATCCGCTTGAATAGCATTTCAAAGGAAAATCAATGGCAGAACAAAGAAAAATCATTCATTTTTCTACATTACAAGTGTCCGAAACGATCGTTCATAAAATATAAAATTTCTCAAATTTACGATGCAGTATCACATCGAAAGTTTTTCTTTAATCTATTTTAGACAGAAATAAGCTGAACAGAACTAAAAACATATTCTTATAGAACAGCAAA